TGACATATTGTTTAGCCTCCACGTAATTCTTTTTCACATTTTTCTTCTTATACTCGATTTCTAATCTTATGGCATTGTCAGAAAAGATGCTTGATAGGATTTCTGTTTTCTTAAATTTACTGAGGCTGGCTTTGTGGCCCATCATATGACCTATGCTGGAGAATGTTCCGTATGTGCTTGAGAAGAATGTGTAGTCTGCTGCTTTTAGATGGAATGCTCTATAAATGTCAAGTCTGTCTGGTCTAATGAGTCATTTAAGGCCTGTGTTTCCTTATTGATTTTCTGTCTGGGTGATCTGTCTGGTGATAATAGTGGGGTGGTAAAGTCCCCTACTATTATTGTGTGGCTTTCACTTTCTTCTTTTATGGCTATTAGCATTTGCCTTATATATTGATACTGAGGTGCTCCTGTGTTAGGGGCATATGTATTTACAATTGTTAATGTTTTCTTGGATTGATCCCTTGATCATTATGTAGTGTCCTTCTTTGTGTCTTATAATCAAGTCTTCATTTTAAAGTCTATTTTGTCTGTTATAACTATTGCTACTCCAGCTTTCTTTTGATTTCCATTAGCATGGAATACCCTTTTCCATCCCTTTACTTTCAGCCTATATGTGTCCCTTTATCTGAAGTGGGTCTCTTAAAGACAGCATATATAGGGGTCTTGTTATTTGTATCCAGCCAGTCTGTGTCTTTTGATTGGAGCATTTAATCCATATACATTTAAGGTAGTTATCAGTGTGTATGTTCTTATTGCAGTTTCATTCTTTCAGATTTGATTTTGCAGGTCTGTTTACTTCCCTTCCTGTTTTGCTCTCTTCTTTTTGATTTGATGAACATCTTTAGCATTTTGTCTCAATTGCTTTTTCCTTTGTGTGTGTGCATCTATTGTAGATACTTGGTTTATGATAAGCATGAGGTTTTGGTATAGCAGTCTATATATGAACAAGATTGGTTTAAGTTGCTGATCTCTTTATTTCCAATGTGCTTCCAACATCCTGCATTTTTACTCTACTTTTCTTACAATTGCTGGTTTTGATACCATATTTGTGTATGGATGATTTCCTACATTTATCATTTGATTGCATTTATCAGTGAGCTTTCCCACTTGTAATTTTCTAGTTTGTAGTTACAGGTTTTCTTTTCCACCTAGACAAGTTCTGATAGCATTTGTTATAAAGCTGATTTGATGCTGCTGAATTCTCTTAGCTTTTGCTTGTCCATAAATCTTTTCATTTGAGTGCCTTGCTGGGTATTCTTGGTTGTAGGTTTTTTCATGACTTACTTTAAATATAATGTGCCACATACGTCTGGTCTGCAATTGCCACTGAAAAATCAGCTGACAACCTTATGGGGATTCTTTATGTATTTGTCTTTCTTTTCTTGCTTTTAATGCTTTGTTTTTCTGTCAGTTTGATTAATATGTGTCATGGCATGTTCCTCCTTGGATTTATTCAGTATGGGACTCTGCACTACCTGGACTTGAGTATTTCTTTTTCCATGTTAGGGAAGTTTTCAGTTAGCATCTTTCAGTTAGTATCTCTTCATGTATTTTCTCCGGCTCTTTTTCTCTCTTCTCCTTCCTGAACCCCTGTAATATGAATGTTGCTTTGCTTAATATTGTCCCTGAGGTCTTTTATACTGTCCTCATTTCTTTTCATTCTTTGTTTTTGGTGGTGTTCTTTTGTGTTGGAATATAATTGCTTTATTTTGCTAGTTTCTGCTGTACAATGAAGTGGATTAGCTATATACATACACCCCCTTCTTCTTGGACCTCCCTCCCACCCACCCCTTCTAGGTCATCACAGAGCACCAAGCTGAGCTCCCTGTGCTATCCAGCATTCCCACTAGCTAGCTCTTTTACACACAGTAGTGTATATGTGTCAATACTAATCTCCCAACTTGTCCCACCCTCTCCTTCCACCACGTCCACATGTCCATTCTGTTCTTTCAAATAGGTTCATCGGAACCAATTTTTAAAAATTGCACATATAAGTATTAATATATTTTCCTCTTACTTCACTCTGTATGAGAGACTCTAGGTCCATCCACATCTCTACAAATAACCCAACTTCATTCTATTTTAGAACTAATATTCCATAATATGTATATGTACCACAATCTCTTTATGCATTCATTTGTTGATGGACATCCAGGTTGCTTCCATGTCCTGGCTATTGAAAATAGTGCTGCAGTGAACCTTGGGGTACATACAGCTTTTTCAGTTATGGTTTTCCTCAGGGGTAAATGTCCAGTTGTGGGATTGTGCTGTCCATATGGTAGTTTTAGCCCTAGTTTTTCTAAGGAATCTCCAGAGTGGCTGTTATCAGTTTGCATTCCCCTGAAGGCTGCAAGAGGGCTCTCTTTTCTCCACATTCTCTCCAGCATTTGTTTGTAGATTTTTTGATGATGGCTGTTCTGACTGGTGTGAGCTGATATACTTCACTACAGTTTTGATGTGCATCTAATACATGAGAAGATGCTCAATATTGCTCATTGTTTTATTAGCCATCTGTATGTCTTCTTTGTTTAGGTCTTTTGCCCACTTCTTGACTGGGTTATTTTTCTGATACTGAGTTGCATGAGCTGCTTTGTATATTTTGGAGATTAATCCTTTGTCAGTTATTTGATTTGCTATTATTTTCTCCCATTCTGAGGGTTGTCTTTTCACCTTGTTTATAGTTTCCTTTGGCTGTGCAAAAGCTGTGTTTAATTAGGTCCCATTTGTTTATTTTTATTTTCATTACTATAGGAGGTATCATACATAGATGACCATAGGTGCATGGGTTTATCTCTGGGCTTTCTGCACTGTTCGGTTTGTCTGTATTTGCTTTTGTATCAGTACCATTCCTATATACAAACAACAAAAGAAAAGGAAGAGAAATTAAGGAAAGCATCTCATTTACCACTGCAACAAAAAGAACAAAATACCCAGGAATAAATCTACATGGGGTCACAAAAAGTCGGATACCACTGAGCAACTGAAAAAACAAAAGGAGGCAAAAGACCTGTATGCAGAAAACTTGTAAGACACTGATGAAAGGAATCAAAGACAAATGTGTATACCACCCAAAGCAATCTACAGATTCGATGCTATTCCTATCAAATTACCAATGGCATCTTTCACAGAACTAGAACAGAAAATTTTACAATTTGTATGGAAACACAAAAGACCCCAAATAGCCAAAGCAATCTTGAGAAGGAAAATGAGAGCTGAAGGAAATCAGGCTCCTGACTTGATACTGTACTACAAAGCTATAGTAATCAAAACAGTATGGTACTGGCACAAAAGCTACAGATGCAAATTATACCTTAATTTACTTTATCTCCCCCAAAATATAGCAACATCAGAAAATGTCCATGTTATGTTTTTGGGAAACTGTAAGGGAGGAGACAAATTACATACCAGTTGGCCCTCAGGAATATGAATAAACACCCATGTAGACTTGTCCTCTGCCAGGCTGCAGGGAATTCCCCCCACCCAAACAAGGCCCAACACAGCAGCAGGTGATGACTGTCAGTCTATAGGATTTTATACTAGGTTGTGAAGTTGCAGGACACTAGAGACAGTGGGCAAACAGACCAAACAAGCACCTTATTTTAAAAAGTTTTATTCTGCAGATTTAGAAATTTGAGTTTTTAATAACTGTAAAAGAAATCCAGTCACACCTAATGATTAACAGAATGTAGTGGTGTATTATCTAAACAGAAATCGTGCTGATGTGCCATAATAAATTGTCTATTAGTAAAAAAATACACTTTAGGGCACAGCATCGTATCACAAATTACAGTAGGGATACTTTGCAAGAATTTATTCAAACTAGAGAATTCTGAGTAACTGTGTCTTCTGAATGCAGCACTTAAAAATGTAACAACTCTGTGCATTCTTTTTTCTTAAAAAATGATCTTGTTTGTGTCATAGAAATGCTGCTTTATTGCTGCAGAAGTCAAAGTTCAAGGCTCAAGAGGTACAGGAGAGAATACAAAGGTAGCCTTAAGAAACGGTTTTGTTTATGTATAAAAAAGGTAAAGTTTATAAAAGTTAATTTACAAACCAAGAACAAAGTGGTATGCACGCATTATGTACAAGCATCCTTAAAATGTCAAAATTTATCAAATGCATTGCTAAGAGAAAAACAACCACTGCCTCTTGCCAAAAAAAAAAAAAAAAAATCACCCAAAATCACACCATTATTTTCTTCTGGGTGATCACACATTTCTGAAACCACCAAATCCACAATTTACTCCATCTTTTTCATGATACAGTATCTAGATGCGCACAAAGCCATAAATCTTAAGTGATACACAGACAGAATGAGCTAACAATTAAAAACATGAGGGTAAGGCATTCCTGCTGGTCAGTATGTCTGTGGTGATATGGTTAATTTATAGATCCAGAAGAGGCCACGGAACCAGTCTCATGCTTTGGTGTCCTTCCCTAAGAAAAGTGAGTTTTCGTATACAGTAAGTCATTGTCTTCACTTGACCCGCACCGCCCCCCCCCCACCAACACACCACAAATTCCCCTTACTGTACATTTCTGTTAAATCCACTACACTGGTTATATATTCGAGGTGCATTTTAAAAATGTGTGCATATTACTTCATGCATAATAAAATAAATGTGTGTGCAGGCCAGGGCCATAGTAAAGTCTGAAACAGTGTACTTTGGAAAGACTAGAACTCAAATGCACCCCCATTTACTGGCTGGTATTTTAACGGAAATCAATGTTAAGTTAAGCAGTGACCATATAAAAGTACAAAAGTCATTACAAAGCATCACATCTCTAAGCTTCCAGCCCACACCAGACCCAAATGGGCAGTGGGCAGCATGTTCCCAGGCACGGACACTCAGCCTCCCCCATCCAAACACAGCGCGTAAGACTAACACACTGCAGGATCAACTCCAGGAAAAGGTACTACTTGATAGAGTGGTTCCATTTAGATTTAGTAAGTTTAACCCAGTTTCACATTATTTAATCAAGTTCGTGTATTTTAAGGATTAAAAGTGGTCAATCAGGACAGAAACACAGTTTGCTCCAACAAGATAATTTGGATCTCCAGGAAGACACTTGTTTTGCCAGGTTTTAGGATCACCTACAAGAGAAAAAAAAAGTCCATGTCATTTCTGGTTCTTAAATTGCTTGCAATCATGGGGCAAATAAAACATTTAGACACAATTTCCCTCTATTCCTTTAGCATACCGCACTTGCACCAAAGCTCTTAGTGCTTTTTATTTCATTGCAGACCCAGTGGAATTGAATGACCCAAAAGCTGTTGCAGATTTCAGTTAAGTTCATGCCTTTTAAAAAATAAATACAAGTCAGGGTGATTATATGCCTGGGACAGTTCCAGTTTGTCCAAGTCCAAACACTCATTAAAAGTACTCTTCTTTCACTTTCGAAAGTCTGGACTAATTGTATGATCACTCCATTTGAGCTGAGTATAAGAACACATTTCTCACACTTGCCACACCAAATGAAATCCTCAATTTGGTTCTTAAAGACTCTCTTCCCTGGGAATTCTGGAGTGGTCCAAGTGGTTGAGACTCTGCCCCTACTGCAAGAAGTATGGATTCCATCCCTGGTCAGAGAACTAGATCCCACAGGGAACCCCCCCCCAATTCCCCTCCACACACCCCACCAAAAGACCCTCTTTCCCTCTACCCAAAATAAAAAAAGTGAGATTGGGCCAGAGATTCTCAGCCTGCTCTGGCTGTACAGAAAAATCATCATGAAGCTTCCAAGTCAGTGAGCTGTGTGAGACTGAAGCCGCCTGGGCTCTTAATCAGGTGACTTGACATTCACAGTTGCAGCTAAGCAGCCCTGGCAGTGGACTCAGCATGAAGGCTTGGGATGGTCTGTTGTCTCCTGTGTCCATGGTAGTGTTGGTGTTAATCACTCAAGTTGTGTCCGACTCTTTGTGACCCCATGGACTGTAGCCTACTGTCTATGGGATTCTCTAGGCAAGAATACTGGAGTGGGTTGCCATTCCCTTCTCCAGGGGATCTTCCTGATGCAGGGATTGAACCTGTGTCTCTTACATTGCAGGCAGATTCTTTAGTCTAAACCACCAGGGAAGCCTACAGTAAGTCACTGTCAAAGTTGCTGCCTGCACAGCAACAGTTATTCACCAGGGGCAGTTGTACCCCCAGGGGATGGTGTCCAGAGGCGATTTTGGGGTGCCAGCTGGCATCTAGAAGCCAGGGAGACTCTCAAACACCCCACAGAACCTTCAGACTGTAGGTAGGCTGTCCATTACCTCAGCAATGTCATGGATCACATGGGTTCAGAGGAGTTCAATTCAAAGATACATGTAGGTTTATGTAATACTGCAGACAACAAATTGTTCAGGCACTGAGATAAGGTTTTCCTCAGAGTTGTTGTAACTATCTTTAGGTTCAAAATTCTTTTCAGTATGCTCGTTTTTCTTGGATTAAGTCAGTAGCTATCAAAATCTACCCTTGACTTTTTAAAAAAGAAATTTATAGCAGAAAAGCATTCCAAAGTCATACAGAATTACGCGGAAGCACATTTCTCTTCCAGGTGTAAGTATTCAAATTTAACACAGGAAAAAGTTGTTTCAATCTAAAAAAATAACGTGTTTTATGGCACAAGGTGAACTATTTGAAGCATACTGATTTTCACTTACAGTTAGGCCTCTCAACATTTTTTAGATTCAAGGACAGTCACAGCCCATACTGAGACCTGGATACTGACTTGCAGGATATACATTTTAAATGTAACTTACTAATGTCAATTCACTATCTCAAACTAGGCTAATACAATGTTCTTGGTGGAGGCCCTGAAGAAACAGCTTTAATATTTACTACGTAAAAATTAACTTTTCCCAGAAAATGGGGAACTTGTGAATATATGTAGTATTTTATGTTAGATAGTATTAAAATATGCTCTTTACACCATAAAACTTTTACTCATACTGTACCAAATTAAAAGTACATAATGGATCATCTGATTTATCAAAAATTCAGAAGGACTTTTAAATTGTAAAGTGATCTATACCAAAACTATAGAAAAGTATACCAAAAGTATAGAAAGTTCTAACTGACTTAAGTCACCCAAGGAAGTGAGAAATGTGAAAATGCAATGGAAGCCTTGAAATTCATGATCTTGACAGCAAAAAGCCATTTTAAGATAGTGTATTACAGAAGTATTTAGGGTTTTACATGGAAAAACCATGGCCAAGTATGATCACAGTGGAAGGTCTTTTATCTTTCAAGTTTCTCTAGTGTATGTGTATACAAACACACACTCTACAAAGTAATATATATACTTTGTACATTGAGAAATTAAAGAATAGTAACCAAAACCAAGTTATTACATAAATTAAGTCCTTTCTGTAAGAAAGTGAAAATCCCTATGTATGCAGGAGAGTATCAATTCTCCCACCACATCTTAGAAATTTTGACAGATAATTTTGTTGACCATCATGAAACTGTCCACTTTTGGCCAAACCATCCATGTTAACAGGCAGAGGCTTCCCCACCTTGCCCTTCTCATTTATGACAGATGTGCCACAAGGAAACTCCACAACACCGGTGATGCCTACAAGGCCAGAGGAATGGAGGGCGATTGGCTCATGATCAGTGTGGGTAGCGCCATCAGCCCAGGCTCAATCAACGACAGCACCCAAAGCCCCAAAGGACAGAGAGAAGACAGCGTACCCGACGAGGAGTCGGATGATTTTAGAGCAAAAGACCAACCGTCAGGAGTCATGGACGCACAGTGTGGTAGGCGCAGCTCCACGGGCTTCAGGAACTTGAGGCCATGGGGCCCACACATCACTAGGGGGCTCAGCAGGGTCTCACCTGGGGGAGGGGAGAGCAGGGAGAAGAGGTTAGACAGCTACCTCCTTCTGGACAGTCTTCTCACCCTTCTCCTAACCACAGGCCTTAAAGCCAAAAGGGGGTTAGTTCTATGAGTTGTGCTGACCAAGAGAAACATAACATTCCAGATGTAATTTAACGCTTCCCAGTAGCCACGTTACAAAGTAAAAAGAAACAGGTGATGTAAATTTTAGTAGTTTATATAACCTAATATATCCAAAACATTGTTTTAAAAAGTGAGCAATTTACTACATCTCTGGAACATCTAGCCCATCTCAGTTAAAGCAGCCATGTGTCAGGTGCTGAAAAGCAGCACGCTGCTGGTGGCCAGAGGGTCCTGATGGCATGAGACACACGTAAATGTTTTACAGAGGTCACTTGTGTCTTACATTTTTAATGTTGTGTTTGTTAAGTGAGTTAAGTGAGTGAAAATGATCTATTTAAGGAAACAAGCAAACAATGCTAAAATACTGTAGAAGAGTTGTAACATGGTTCATTCTTGTGTCATCCTGACTGACCCAGGAAGACTGTGAAAAAACTAAGGCAGAAGCTGCGGCAGCCACTGGGGATGAAGCCTCCCTGTGCGGGGTCTGGGGGTGACAAGGGCTGATCCAACAGCTTTACCTGCACCAGCAGGCAGCTGCTCTGAGCGAGGCCTCTGGAGTGGATGTTACCTGTTACCTAATCCATCTCTAGAGCTGCCAAGGGTAAGGGACTCACAGATGAATCTGGGGAAGGGCAGCCAGGACTGGCTGCCTCCTCAGCAGAAGGAACCTGACGGCAGCCAGATATCTTGTCTCACAGCCTGATATGCCTGCAAGAGCATGCAGGCTGCTTGAGGTGCGCACCCACCCTTCTCTTTGTCCAAAGGCGGCAGGATGCTGTTGTCACGGCAGACCTTGAAGTAGATCTCCTGTTCCACCCCCTCGGGAATGGCTCCCTGGGGGATGATGATGCTGACACCAGTCTCAATGGAGCTCAGCACCCCACCATTGCTGTTAAATACGCCACGGGCAGTAGCCACCACTGTATGACCGTCTTCATCTTCCTCCTCCTCCACGGCTGAGGGACTGAGTTCAGAAACAGCCAATGAAGTACATTGCTAGTGACACAGAGAAGCTCCCATGGCTGTGCTAATCGAGCCTATTTCTCCACATCATTAAGTTACTTTAGTAAGTGAAGTTTCAGTGACAGATCCTACCACTGGGGTAACTAAGCATACACGTCCCAGACAAGTTTTGCAACCAGAACACACACAGCCTGATACACTGCTCACCCAACATCTTACATCCGTGAAGCTGGTGTTTTTAAATTGATGGCACATCATGCTTTGATAGCTTGTTTTTTCCTTCTTAGTGATATGTAAGGCAACAGTGGCATCTTAGACATGACAGAATATACACTCACTGGCCCTTCTCTCTACTGTGGACTTGTGGTGTGCACACATTTCCCTTCCCACCCAGAGCACAGACATCCAGTTCCATGAAGTCATGAAGACCCTGGTGCAGGCAGACACGTGGAGAGGGGCCAGCCCGTTTGTGTGGTCACACAAGGCAGAGAGGATGCGGTACCAATTCTCCTTCAAAAGTGGGGGCTTTGGGAATCTCCCAGAGTTAAGTTCTGAGCCAGGACTAAAGGTGAGCAGCAAGATAGGTGGATAAAATGAAGCCAAGTGTGAGGGCCTGCAGCCTCACTCCTAAGCGGCCAGAGGCAGAGGTGGGCCTGCTCTTTCAGGACCCTGACTGTCCCTCTGCTCCAGGGGCAGCCTGCAGGCGGCCCTAACTGTCCCTCTGCATCAACGGCTGAGGGAGGCTGTCACAGTGAAGATAAGGGAGGGGTTCAGGGAGCCGGCCCCAGGCAAGCGGGCTTCTTCTCATCTGCTCACCATCTGACCACAACTGTTTTAACAAAGCGTCTTTTTACCGTTGCTGCAAATGAACAGTGGGTAAGGAAACAAAACTCTTTCTCAGACACTCTCCAAATGTGCCTCCCCAGCTGGAGGTCAGAGGTCAGACAGGGGCCATGTCATGCTGAATGAGCTGCAGTGTCCCTCAACCTGGTTTTTTACACAGCAGGGACAGTGAGTGAGGATGGCCGAGTCACATGAGCAGTGGCTTCCGGATGGCACTAACATCATCTCTGCAGAATCCCGGCTATGGCAGTGGTTCTAGCGTTTGGCATGGCGCCACTCACCATCAAGTCTGAGCTGAGATCATCAGGCAAGTACCCCAACTACACCTGACTCACATGAGGCCGATCACCAGGTGGGGCAAAGACAAGACTCTTACCTCACGGGCACTGCTCTCGGCCCTGTGCTAACACTGTTTACTTGGTATTTCAGCTTGTTGTCTGTGTGGACAGAGAAGGTCTCCACACCACTGTCAAACTCAGGAGGCTGTGCAGACTTCAGGAGGGTCTTTGGAGAAGCGGGAGCTTTGGAGGATAGGTCAGGTTTGTGTGTGGTTTCATTCGGCAGGAGATTGTGGTTGAATTTAGGACTTTCAAACTTGCGTTCAAATGGCCGTGCAGAGCTTGTGTATGGTTTTGGTGTGAATCGATTGTATGCTGGCGTGACCGTTTTCTGCGTCTGTTCGACCCCATTAGCTGGAGCTTTCTCTGGGAAACTCTTTTGGGGGTAAAAAGCAGACTGGACAGCATCCTCTCGGGGGGCTGGTCTGTAAGCTGCTGGCTTATTCTGAGATGGAGGTGGGTCCGGTTTGGACACTAATGAGTTCTGAAAATCCAACGACATAGCATTACCTAAAAAAACATGCAGAGAAGTATTTCAAAAATTTCTGAAAATAATTTAATTTGTAAAAATACTGACTATATAAAGTCAACTATACTTCAATAAGTAAAAAGTATATTCAGTGGCGTGAATAAAAACAGAAATCCATCTCTTACTGACTATAATGGTTGGTGAGATGGAAAAGATGTTACAACAGGCCAAGCATAAATCCACCTGGATGAACAATTTGCTCATCAAAGTATCAACAAGTAATGTTCTGTGAAGACTATGGTATCTGTGATTCTAAACTTGGTCTCTAGGAATAAATCTTGAAACATTTTTCATCCAACAGAAAATAGAAACCAAAATGCCTTTCCTTCCTGAAACAAGCTTCACCACCACCACCTGATTGCCTCTCCCACTGTAAATGGTCCTGGCGTCGAGTCAGTGCCTGGGGCTGGTTGCCAGTCTGAGGACCACATGACCCTGGTGACCGTGTGTGATCCTGAGGGAGCAGGAGAAAGCATGGTGTGATAGCTGGGACAGCACTGATGCACCTGGAGTTGGGGCTGTGCCTCCGGAAACTGGCATCGGAGGAACCCCACTCCAGTGTCCATAACAAATCAGAAGCAGAATGACAAATGTGTCCATGTTAAATCAGCACTACAAAACTCACCATAATTAAAGTCAAAAAAGAAAAGTCAGATTGGGAGAAGCTACTTATAACATGCATAACTGATAAAAATTAGGAGGAAAAAACCCGTATGTCCATAAGCAAGAATCAACCAATAGGAAAACAGACAAAAAACTGAACAGGCAAAAATACAAGTGAAAACCAGACTAAACCAGTAATCACAGCAATATCACTATTAATTAGGAAAATTAAAAACCAAAACAATACGATTTCACATCCTCTGAATTTTTGAAATATTGAAAGTGGTGGTACCAAGTCCTGGCAAAGATGTGCACTAACAAGAGTTTCCATGTACAGAGCTTCTTCAATTCCCCTGGGAGTGTTACAGCAGCATGGTGAGTATCTCATGTGATTTACTGAATAATGTCCTGAGAGTAAAAAACAAACTGGCTGTCTGGGTGCAGGACAGCTGTAAGGGTGTCAGTTGTTCACCCCTGTGATGGGGCGTCTGACTGGGGCTCTGCTCACTGCCGCTGCTCAGCATCACAAGGGATTGTACTACTCACTAACCTGGGAAAAGACTGAAATTTAAAGTACAGTTTCTACTGAGTGTGTTTTGCTTTTGCACTGCAGTAAAGTGAAAGCATCATTAAGTCAGGAACCTTCTGTACAGCTGGTGGCAGTGTAAAAGAACACCAACTGCATTCTATGAAATAATTATATCAGTGTTTTGACACACTCTCCCAGGACTGAGAGTAAGAGGAAACCTCTCCCAGCTCTCAAGAGACTAGTACAACTTTGATACCAAAACCAGACAAGGACAAGAAAATTATAAACCCCAATTTCTTGTGAGCATAGCAATATGATTTATCACAGAACAGAATAAAGAAAATAAATCATAGGATCCTCTACAGGAGGATCCTGCATTTGGCCTTCTGTAGCCTCGGATGTGCAGCCCAAGTGGGGGGTGGGCGCTGTATTGCACCAGTCCCACCAAGGGACTTGTGCATCCATGGATTTCATTGTGTGCACGCAAAGTCGGGGTGTCCTGTGGATACCGAGGACAACTGCACATAAAGTCAGTAGATAGAAGGTTTTCAGCAAACTAGAAGGGACATTCTAAACGTAATGAAGGGCACCCAGAGAAGTCACACACTGCCCATCTGCTCTCCCAAAGTGGGAGCTGGAGCAAAAGAGGTGTGCTACTATCGCTTCTATTCACACTGTACTGCACGTCCCACACATTGCAGAGAGGCAAAAAAAAACAGCAAAAAATGAAAGAAAACAAAAAGGCATAAGGTTTGGAGAGTGAAAAGTTAAACTTTGTCTGTAGACATGACAGTGTGTAAAGAAAATCCTAGCATACAGTAACATCAAATCACAGCCCTGGGAGTGGACTCCTCTGACTACAGAGCAGCACCACCTGCAGCAGTGGGATGTGAGCAGGAGACGTGAGCTGTGTGTGTCCTGTGAAGGCACCAGAGGGGGTGGGGGTGGGGCTACAGGCCTCCCAGGGTGTCTGGGCTGTGGGCTGGAAAGACGATGGCATGATGGCTCAGAAGAGGTGCACTTGCTGAGACACAGGAGAAAGCTGAAGGAAGCAGGAAGGGGGGGGAGGGGTGCCTTGGGTGAGGGTCAGCATGGGTGAGGGAGACAGTTTACTGATCACAGGTGTGGAGGACAAGACACAGGCAGACACGCAGGGACACCCCCAAGATGGCCCTGCTGAGACACCTCGTGTGAGAAGGGATGTCACCATGATTTTTATAAACCACCCTTCATTTAGTTTTGGACATACCGGTAAGCTCCACGGACAGAAACTGAGCTGTGTTAGGCAGAATAAAATCTATCTAGCTAAAAGGCAACAGTCATGAAAAAGATGTACTTTTAACAAAATCCTTAATTTTCACGGTCCTAAGCCCATAGGTTTCAAGTATGTCTGTCTTACATGTACCCACTTTTACTTAGAAAGTATGAGGCTAACTGTAGCCTCGTAAGTCTGACTGTAACCGCCGTCTGCCCATTCCTGAGCCATCTACCTTCACCGTGCGGCCCCTTGGTGTGTGCCTGGAGGCCGAGAGCTGTGTTGGGGCTGGGGTGAGCACCCTGGCTGTACTGAGTGGGCAGCGGCGGAGGGGGGGGCGTCGCCTGCAGCGGGTCATAGCGCTTCTCCCCGAACGACCTGTCCACAGCTTCAGCCTCAGCAGCCTTCCCCCTGTGAAAAAGTGAGGACACATCAACACCTTGAAGATGGATGCACATTACCAAAGAACTTCCCATTCTTCCAGGCATCCCTAAGTTGTTTGCTTTCAATTGAGAATTTCATAATTTATCCCCCACGAGTATGGGTACTCAACCAAACTACACAAACTAAGTTAAGCTGTCATCAGCACCAGAGATGTGAAGACATTAGATACAGTAAGAATATTAGTAAGACATCCAGAAGATGGCGCCAAAAGGCAGATGAAATTTCAGGTACATTCGTAATATTGAAGATAGTTGTTCACAAAAAATTTAATGGTTGGCAAGTTTAACAAAGTCTTGGCAGTATTTTGAAGAAACATTTATTGGCTTAAATCCTCCTTAGATTCCCATCTGCTTTTGCATCTAAGGCATTAGCTGGGCACCAGAGGATGAGGCAGGGGCTAGCAGGCGTTTTTGCTAATGGCTGGGCAGGAAATGTTTCGGTTTCTTGGGCCACACAGTTTCTGTCCCAGCTCTTCAAACTCTGCCCCAAAGCAGCCAAAAGCAGCATTTAAGGGACAGGACTCTGCTGTGTTCAGTAACATGGACACTGTGGACTTTAAATCTGCCCTTGATTTACCAGATCCATTCTCTGTTTAGCATTCCTAGAGAAGCAAACATTGCTTGATTTTAAGACTCGTTTAAACCAAACTGTGCCATGTATGCTGCTTTTTTTCCAGATTGCCAACTGTTCATATGGGAACACGTAAAATTCACAAAGAAGAATCTTTACAACAGGACCCAGAATTGCAGTGCTGCCACCTGAGCACTGCAGAGTCCCGCTGCACCTGCTTTGCGCACACACAATAGCACAGAACTTGGAATGTTCAGTTTCTGGTTGCAGTCCAGTCACATGGTCAGCTCAAAAAACTACACCCTTAGGATGACAGGAAGTCTGCCATGTGTGCATTGCAACGGGCCCGCGCATAGCCCACACTAGTGTCTTACATGGATGCTCCTGGACCAGCAGTCAGAGCTAGTCTAAGAGCCAAGAAATTTAGGTGATGGCAAAGCCAGCACAAGAGCAAAGTCAAAGAAAACTGTCAATCTAAATTTGCCACAAACAGAACTGTTTCTGCCTCATGTTATGTTAATGTCTCTCAACTTGGCTACACTGAACCAGTCCTAGTAGTTAATAGTCCTAGTTACTGAACCAAACACCACTACTGCAGGTGTCCCAAAAGACTATCTAGATAGAAGCTTTTTAAAAGGACATTAACAACCTCTCTGAGCTCAGACATGGCTCCAAATTTCCCTTTCCTGCTGACTTAGGACTTGCTTACCACCACTGTGTAAACGACTTCCTTGTAACACATCCACGTCTGTCTTCATTATTGTGAGTCTGTTCTGCTCAGGTATGGGCCCACCTGTGCCTGCGTGGGATTACACTCCATTCTCAGAACAAGTTCGCCACCAGTCAGGACTCAACCAGAGGCAGAACCAGACCACACACAACATAGGAACCCCACAGAGGCACAAGTGAGCTTGTAGTTTGTAACCCAGCAAAATCCACAAAAAAGAAAAGCAACCAGAGGCCCAGTAGACAAGCAAACAGAAGGGTGCAGCATGGAACAGGAAGATGATGGGCAGGACCTCGGAGCTCAGTCCCCATGCTGCTCCCTTCACAGCACCCCACGTTGACAACTGGACCAGGAGTCACTAAGTCCCCTCAAGCTGAAACAATGATAGAAGGCAAGTTTGTTCTTGCCTTGGGAAAAAACCAAACAACTCTTCAGTATTTTCCCTCAAACAACGTCACTCCCTAGCATAGCCTGCTTTTATATTTTAAGAACAAAAACCAAAAAGAATGATGAGAAGCAGCACTGAGTGTGCCACATGGGAAGGAGGGACTTCAAGGTCAGTCTCTTAAATGCTCACCCTCTTACCTTTGTCAAAGCGGTCGGACCCTTAGAACTCTTTGACATTTAACATCTTTTCTAATGTAAGAACCTCACACAGATGACGCCAGGGTCTAAGAACAAAGCTACATACCCCAGGCTGGATAGCATACATGCTGAACTGCTTAGCACCCACAGAAATCAAGTAAGTATGACACTACTAACATTTCCCTTCAGAACACACTGAACTTTGTGTGACTGGCTCCACTTGATGCAAGTAATCTTTGTTTCATCTTAACTTTGAAAATTTAACGTCTGAAACGAAGTGACTCACTTGGAAGAGTAACCAGCAAACTGTGGCTGAGACTGGGGGTGAGCTGGCCTGGTGGGCTCCGAGAGGTGGCTAGTGGGGACATGGGCGGGAGGCTTGGCCTCAAAGCTTCTCCGATCGAAGTAGGAGAGCTGCTTCCGGTAGTACTCCTCATCCTCCTCAGGGTCATAGTGATTTGCCCGAACGATGTCTTCAGGTGGCTTCATGTGAGGCCTCTGTGGTTCAGGGATCCTGACAATGAATGATAAATGAAACAACTTTTGAGATGTTAACTTGACAAGGAGAACAGAATAGGCACCTCTGACCTTCCATTGACACCCTGACTACTCGTGACCTAGCTGAGCGGGGCAGCCATCAAGGCCAAAACTTGGGCCCCACATCCACACATGTCACACACTCACACACGTTAGGAGAAAGGCAGCCTTCTCCTAACATAACCGATCTACTGAGCTTGACAACCACCTGGTTAGAAGCAGCTTATCAGAGAAAAGACAGAAGGGAAAGCAGGCAGTGGGGAGCTCCAGCACGTGCACCATTGTCAGAATGACTGAGAATTTAAGACCTTGATGCCAGGATCAATAGACAATCCTCAGGTAAGGAAGGAGCTAGACAATGATGGGGGAAGCACGCAGCAAAGGAAGTCAACTATTAGCAAAGTGAGGTATTGTTACTTAGGCCCTGCTGGGTAATTCAGGAACTCAGCATCAAAAAAAGATAAACTAGGTTTCACACCAAGAAGGAGGGCTAAGCTTTCAGTTATTACACATTTACTCCGTGTAGAAGAGCTTATCTGCTAATGATCCCAGCTAAAGGAGACACCGTAGTAGTTTACATTTGCATGACAAGCACTAGGCATCAGGAAAACCAGAAGAAAATGTACAAATTAGACAGTAGTTCCCTCTTTATTACAAGCACAAAAGTGAATCAAACATTCAGCCAGAGAACTGCTGAAACGCAGCCCATCACTCAGCAACAGCAGGGGCAGCCACAGTGAGGAGCATGCACAGCAGGTCCCCCGAAGCCTCATTCCACCCAGTCATCCTGGTGCTGACCGTGCTCCTGGCCATGGCAGGCACGTGCCACAGGCTACATGCTCGCTAACAGATTATGTTTGGGCTTCCCGAGATGCAGTGGTTACGACTCAGAGTTCCACTGCAGCAGGCATGGACTCTGTCCCTCCTCAGGGAACTAAGATCCCACATGCCACACAGTACAGCCAAAAATTAAAAAAAAAAAAAAAGATTTAGTTCACAGCTATCTGTTTTCTTGTCGCTAAAAACAGCCTGTGTGCCAACAGCACTGTTAAACTAAAAACATATTTCAGAAGTTAGGGCTCTAAAATTGTATATTAGCATATGTTAGAAATTTGCTAGAAAATTGTTTTCAGATTTGTTTATGGAAAGGGTAACAAAGATGTGCTGCAGAAGATAAAATGAAGTTATTTGTCTTTCTAGGACCACTGTTTTAGTGGGGACACGGCAGATTTCAAGTGAAGAACAGCAAATCCCCTACCTCCCCGCCCCTCCCCAGCTGGGGCTTGTTCCCACCTATGTGCTGCTCTGTCGTGTTCACTGAGCTGACTCGGAGCGGGGGCTTTCGGACCTGGGACAGGAGCACCTGCCGGTTTTGACATGACTTCTGGGGGCTGCAGAGAAAGAAGACACACATCCTTAGGCAGAGATCGAGAGAAAACAGGTGTCACTAGGCGTGTTGCACATTCATCACTGAATGTGTTCTGCACACAAGGCAGGGAAACAGTGATCACATCTTTACCTTGAAACTAGTGGAATGGCTCTCATCCTTCCTGTTCTCCATGGAAGCAGACCTCTTGTTCTCAAACATCTTCACTCTGGTGAGCACAGATTGTGGCTTCATGGCTGGGTCTTCCTCCTCCTCGGCTGGAGCTGGGGGTGGAGGCAGGGGTTTGGTGCCTGTGGGCGGGAGTTCGGGCTTGTGCTGGGACGAGGGGCCAAGTGGCGGAGTGAGCACGGTGCTGTGAAGTGGCTCGTAGTGGCCTGGGCCTGCCCTGGAGGAGAAGCCCTGGGCAGGAACTGGCTCGTAACTCCGAGGGTACTGGTCCAAGTACGGCTTGGGCTCAGGGGGCGCCTTGGGGCCAGCAGTGGAGTAGGGCTGCGCGTCAGGCCGGTACCTTCCGTGCACGTCGTACCCAGTGGCGGGGGCAGGCGGCTCTTCGTGCCGCAAGGTGGAGGTCCTGGGCAGTGGGTCGTAGTGCGCTCGGCCTTCATAGGACAGGGGCACTGGCTCCTCAAAACGGGGGAAATACCCTCGTTCTGTGGGCTCTGTGGGAGGCTGACCATCAAGAGGCCGGGGCTGGTAGGGCTGCTTGTCTTCGTAGTAGGGCCACTGCTCCTCGTAGCCGAGGAGGCGGTCGTCATAGCGCAGACGGTGGTCATAGTTCCGAGCAAACTGCTCCGGGTAGCTAGAGGCATCATATCTGTATGCAGGCTGCTCCAACTCCCTGCCGGCCTGTCGATCTGTGTACGGAGGCTGCGGCTCGTAGCTCAGGCCTTGCTCCTTGTCTGGCCTCTGCCCAGGGTGAGCCGCAGCCGGCTGCTTCAAGACGTGGTTCTGTCTCATCGTCTCCTCGGGGTAGGGGTCCTTCCTGTACACCTGTGTAAACAGCTACGCATTAAGGACACAGGCTGGCTTCAAATCCTAGTCTAGTGAGAGACAGAAATGACATGTTCTACCCTTTATTACCAGGACAGAAAGAGATTAGTGGAGAAAGCAAGTTTAAGTGAAAGCTCAAAATTTATAATGCAAGTAGGGGCTTTTATGTTTCAGCATGTATCGACACTAAATGAAGTTTAGTAGAAAATTAATGCATTCAGCTGTTGATTCCACTTGATTGGGACACTGAAAATAAATCATAAAGAAAACTTATGGACATAATAGTTTAGAAAACATAAAGCAGTTTACAATGGATCTGAAATGATATATTAAGAAATTTTGTAAGATTCTAAAAGCCAAACATTAAAAAACCTATAAAAGTATTAGGTACCAATCCCAATTAAAAGGCCTATTTAAAGAATCAGGCACCACTGGAAGCCATGCAGACTGCAGAACCAGATGACTCGTAGTGATTTGAGAACATGGTGTTGAGCCCACAGTAAAAGCAGAGGACACTCGAGGGAAAGCAGACGTGCTCATGTGGCAGGCTGACGGGGAGCAGCGGGTGAGGGCAGCCCCCGTGGCACAGGTACCTTTGCTGGGCCCACATGCGACGACAGGGATGGCTCTGGACCTCTGAGCTGCACGTGAGCGGCCTCAGTGCCTGAAGCTCGTAAAGAGTCGGCGTGTGGTGAGTCAGAGGAGGGGGGAGCTGGGCTCGGCTCCTCCAGTCTGACATTAGTTAAGTCTACGTGAGGATTAACAGCAGAGGCTGATGCTGCCGGGTTTGTTTCAGGCGAAAGGTAAGGGCCTGGAGATGAGGCTTCTGCTTTCTGTGAAGTGTTTAAAATACTTTAAATATAATGCTGCTGTTCACTGCTAACTCCCCATTTCCATTTATAGTGGTTGATAGTTTTTTTACTCAGCACACTTAAGATGTATGTCTGTGACCTCATGTCCTGAATTTTTAAATTTCAGTATACTGCTGTGTGAGATTCTAAACACACAAAGTTTAGAATTAAGTCCTTGGTATTCTCAAGTGAAATTAGAGATTAAATCTTAACCTGGAGAAAGGACACCACATTCTTTAAGTCAGTCACCACATCCTAGACTTTGATAAAGTACCTCCACCTGCAGAACATTGATGCTGCTGCTTACCTGTTGAGAGGCTGTTTTAAATCCAGGGGAGTCTATTCTATGGCCTGGCTGTGGCTGCGCTTGTGGTGAGTAGGGAGGATATGCCTGGTGGTCAGGATGCATTCCAGAGGAGTCCTCTCTGACAGGCTCAGAGGACCGGGTAATGGCAGACTCCGGGGGAGTCCCCACCTCATCATTTAGGGTCTCATCTAGTTCTTGATCAGTGTAGGCCCCGCCTTCTGTATCTGTGTCTTCATAGTCAGAAGTGTGTCTACTGTCCGTGCTATACATTGAGTATTCACTACCTGGGGCTGACAGGTAGGACAGACGATCATCATGCAAATCAAGGTCATCACTTGTAGCACCATCCGCCTGGGTCAAATAAAAGTAAATTAAAAATTTTATTCAGTAGTTTTGTAAGAGATGGCCTTTATTTCACAAGGGGACTGAAAAGGATACTTGTCCTCGGAGAAATCACAGCTATGTCTAGAGGCTTCTGCTGAAAAGGTCAAGAAGACTTCACAAGCACACATGCGGACACACAGAGCACCCTCGGATATCTGAAGGGCCTGGATGAGTGAGGTTGGCTGGCTGGCCGTGACAACACTGGACCCTGATGTCCAGCCCCAGAAGACAGCAAAGGAGCCCTGGCCCTCCTCTGGTTCGTGGAACCTAGTCACTTGCTAGCCTGTCAGCCCAGAGCAGGGTGAAGAGGGAGATGTGGCCAGGCCAAGCTCACAGAAACAAAGACACATCGACTAACAGAACATCGCGCATGAGACTAACTAGGAGATAAACGCCACAGTTCAAGCTGAGTAAAAGACCTTATGTATATATGAAGAAACACTACTTTTTAAAAGTTGGTATTTGGCCCTAGAGCTTTTATAAAACACAATGGAAAAGCATCAGCTAAGTGCACGCAGCCTCACTAGGAACTGCTGTTAAAACATAACTCTGCACAGATGCAGTCAGTGTCTAGTGGAGGGGGGGGGGCGGGCAGCGGGAGATGCAGGAACAATGCTCTACACAGGATTAAGAGCTGAGTCGGCTCCAGGCTCCACCGAGTGTCTCCTGAGCCAGTGAGAGAGAACACACAAGTCATCTGAGGGAACGGGAACAACAGGCTGTCAGCGCACACTGATGTGAAGCTACTGCCTGGACCACACACGACAGCCGCTCCCTGCCCTGGAAGACCCAGAGGTGGGGTATGGCTCGAGAGCTGGAAGATGCGGAACGCAGAATTCTACCAGCACAGACAGACAAGGCCTGAGCCGCCTGAATAGCACTGCCCCCAGTCTTGATCATGGCTCTGCAGGAGCCTGATCCTGAACGCCTCTTCTAGGTGGGAAAAACCAGCTGTCCCTGACCAGCAGTTTGAAAGCCAGGGATGATGGGCGGTGTCTCTCCCACAGCAAAACATGCCTGCTCTCTCCACTCTAATCTGCACTTGCAGAGCCTGCAAGACTATAACCCAGGGGCCAGTCGGGGCAGTACTTACGGCCCTAGGGTTGAGCAACTCAGAACTCTCTGATCTGCTGCAGGGTATGAAATGCACAAGGAGCAAGAACCAAGCGCTTGGAGCCAGAGATGACATATGCCTCCTGTTAAGAAAGCCCCAGGATGACTTTTCTTGGTTCAGTAGGGAACATACAAGACCATCAGAACTGCAGAGAGGAACTCTTCCTGGAAACTAGGTGGAAGTAATTAACTCAGGGGAGTTCAGGGTGGAAATGAAGAGAATCTGTTTAGTTTAAGAATCTCGTTAACTAAATAGAGTCTCTTAGTTTAAGAATCTATTATTACTAGAGTAGAAGGGGGGGCATAAGTCAAACTTGATTTAAATTTAAGACCTCTTCTGATTTACAAAATGCATCAACCTATTATTCTAATTGTAAATGACTTACGAGACCTATTAATATAGGTCATTTTAGTTTTTATTAATTTTCCTCACACACAAAAATAGTTGGGAGTTAGACCTTCATTTTAAAATCCAAGCAAAGGAAGCACACAGTAATATCAGAGAACTCACAGAAAACTAAGATTTGTGGAATAAAAAAAACCTCTCAGATAGGTAGGCAAGTATATTTTGTGCGTTTATAAAGTAATAGCTAGTGCTAACAGTCTAGCTGACAAAGGCTGCTAGCGGAATTGTGTTGTCCTGGATGGTTAGTATGGAGTGGAGGTGATCATACTCACCCAAGGCCACAGAGTAAATAAGTTAGTAAGTATGTCGTGGGAAGTGCTGCAGTGAGTTGCTCCAACTCTATCTATCAAGTTCCCGGCTGACACGTCAGTGGTCACGGGGGGGGTCTCATGATCGCATGTGAGTGGTACTGACACGTGACTATGGGTGGGAGCAGCTAACAGCACCTCCAGATGTCAGCATTAGGACATCTCTTCTCGAAGAGGTGGTGTCTTCCAGGTAGGAAGCAGGGTTCCTGAGCATGCAGCATGCACTGCACTGGCCTCAGGGGCCACAGCCAGGCAGGGGCAGGGGGAGCGTGCAGGGGAAAACACAGCAGAAACAAGCCGACGAGGAAATACAGAAACAAAATAGAAGAGACATTCTCAACTTTCCCTAGCAGCAGAAACACACTAATAATGTATTCATCTGAAGGCAAAACACATTTATAACAAAAAGTTCTTTAACTGTGTATTCTGAGAAAAGTATTAGCTCCCAACAAAATCAACATCCTGTGCCATTAAGAACTGCTAGAAGCCCAGACAGGCCAACAGCAAAAGGCAGTGCATGCTACTGTACAGAACACCAGAATACAAAGCCAAAAGTTTGGGCTGCGTAACCTGACTTTTCCAGTGTGTCTCAGGGATGTTAGTTAACAGGTACTGATGCAGAAATCCCTCAGGGACGGACTCAGGGCCATGCTTGCAGCAAGCAGCAGAGCCAAGTCCCGCACTGCAGCCCCTCCAGCCCCTACCACGCTGCTGTGTGTCCATGCTGCCCCAGGGCCGGGTCTGAGGACAGCGGGCCCTGCCCATTCTCTGCCTTTCCCTCCAGACAAGTCCTGGATCTCACATGCAGAGGACAGCACTCTGGGGACCCTCATCGAGCCCATTCAGCCCCTTATTTCCAGAGGAGGAAGGAAGCCAGGTTCACACTCATTCTTGGTCAGGTGGGTGGAGTTGGGAGCTCAGCCCTGCTCTTCCACATCAAGAATTCTGAGACAGAGAACACTGCCGGATGGTAGCTCAGTGGGGCAGGAAACTTCCAAATCCTTTACTACCAAGATGAATTCCATAACCCCACATGCAAATTGTGAAGACCTAGACACTAAAGCCCCTGTTTCCTCCAGTACGTTGATCCAAGTAGAAAACGGTGTCTCAAAGGCTTCTCTTATATATGAGTTATCAAATGGGTTAATAATAGGAAACTTCTTACCTTTCCCTCAGAAACCCATACCAACTGGTTCTGCTGTTGCTGAATTGCTTCTTTCAGTGCACCATACCAGCCATCATTCATTGAATTTAAGTTAATTGTAGCTGAAAACAGACAACAGCATTGTTCTCTGGTTAGAACACTGCCACCAAATAAGAATTCACTCAACACTGCTTAGAGTTCAGCCTCCACCACTGAGTTCTCTGACAGATGATATCTGAGGACACACCCCTGGAAATGTCTGTTTTGGCATCAAACCATTTCTTTCCATCAACATCTGCCATTAACACAAGAGCAAGCATAACAGGCAAAGGTTATGTGAGTTTTAATATTTAAACACCACAACATTTTTGCCCACATATTACTGCACAGAAACTGTAAGATGAAAAAAGCCCTTTAACGTACTCGTAAAAAGATGGTGGTTATTTTTACGAAGTTTATGAGACCGCTCATATAACTTCCTGGCACTTTTCCGAGATTCTGGACATAACCTCATCCGCATTGTTTTCACACCCTGCTTAGAGTCCGGGTTAAGGAATACCACGATTGGATACCACTGGGCATAGTTCAGACGGTCTACTGCATTGGGCGTTACATCCAGTAAGGCATGTTTGTCCTAAAGACAGAAGGAGAAAGCAGACACAGACACAGGTAACTGACAGCCATCACCTTTAGAAGTCCTACCCAAGACTATGTTCCAACAGGAACAGATGTTTAACTCCAAACTGTCTCAGGAGCACGTCAGGAAAAGGTGTACTGTCAAGTTAATGCTATATACTTCCTAGCCCAAAAGTCTTAACGAGCTCACTTTTTTTTTTTGCTTACTCACAATGTTTAATTTATAAATTGAGTTGCACAAAGATATTTAAAACCATATATAGCAGGAAATACATTAAATTTAGAAAGATTATTCTTTACCATTTTTATATTTTACACCACCTCTCCTGGCAGCTCACTTTTAAGACAGCCCCAATACTTGCAAGCAGACAGTGAAAATAACTTTAACACACATTCCTATCATTTGAGAACCAAAGGGCAACCTGAACTGTCCCACTGTGACAGCCGCAGACTGCCCACGTGAGGACACTGGATCCCCTTCTGTGGTGATAACAGCTCATCTTCTGAGGCAAGTACTATTTACCGTCCCTGACACCAACTGTTACAATGTCTGACTTGATATTTTCATGGTATGCCAGTAACAAGTTGAGAAAAACCATCTCTTACTTTCAATTTAGCAAGACTCATCCCACAGCGTAAGATGAACAGGTCAACTTTCAGGAACGTACCTGATCTATTATCTGCTTTATCGTGTGGAGGCGAATAATGCCGGAGCTGCGCTGGTCAGTTCCTGCATCCCGAGGTTCACTTTCTAGTCAGGAAGTCAGGAGAGAAACAAAACATCAGATTTCCACTGGTGAGACCAGGCCCTCGGCTTCTGGGCAGTAACGACACCGTGGGCTCCACCTGCTGGGTGTCAGCAGCAGTCCCGTGTCCCTCCTGGCCCACGGTGACAGAGCTGCGGCCACATGTCCTCTCTAGGGCTGCCCCGGCTGAGAACACCTGGTGACACCAGAGCTTCACACCAGAAGGCAGGTGGGAGCTCCCCCCAGGTGCATGATTCCAAGGGTGCCCCCACCCAGCAGTTGAGCAACACTGGATGCAGTGTGATTAGTTTTAAAAACTAATATTGATGAACTTGCTTCCATTAAAGTCAAGAAAGTTAAATTATAAATTATATGTTTGGTCCAAATATTTAAGTTTAAAGTGATGTGAGTTGTTAAAGATGCATGTTTTAAAAAATGTTCCAGCAATTCTGAGGGAGAGACGTTGAAGTGAGGAGGTCAGGCTGAGGGTCAGGGGAACGAGGCTCTCACAAGACAGAGAGGGCTAGCTTCCAGTCCTCTGGATACAGGCAATGACGGGGAAACCACCTGGGAGCTCTGGCTGGAGAAAATGCTACCAGTTTTTAAATTCAAAGACTCTCATACAATTCAAAGAGGGTATATAACTAAGCGATCTGAACCCCTTCTGTAAGACCCTGGTTGTACAATAAACCCAATTAAATCCATTTGTCAGTCCTTAAGACAGAACTCTGTAGGTCTTCACACTTGTTCTTCCTGAATTTAAAAGACTTAAGGTTGGTGATGGGTGTTATCTATAACCACCAACTTCTTCAGGCAAAGTGCTATCTATAAGCACAACCAAAAAAAGATCTCTTCTGAAAAGACTAACAAACTGAGTAGAGAATCAGAAGTGAACATTTTCTAAATTGCTCAAATTTTACTATCATTTGTCTGCATCTTCTGAGTTTCGGGACACACATGTCTTCATTCAGCTTCACCAGCAAGCAAATGAAAAGTAATGTATATAACACAAATACAAAGGCAACACCCTGCTCGTGTAAACCACTCCCTGGAGCTCACGGCGCCACAGGGGCAGTCAGAGTGCTACAGCAGCAAGCAGGGAGTACACCCGTCTCCAGGAATTCTAATGAACCCAGCACACATACACACACGCACACACATAAAGCTATGTACTGGAGTGTTTACACCCAGCAAATTGCACAGATTTATGCATCCTCGTGTTAGTAAAATATTAATTTGAAACAAACTATAAAAACAAAGGCTAATCAAACCAGATTGATTATAGAATAGATAATAAAATGAAAAATGAGTTATCCACTAAGAAGGAAAATGGAGTATGTGCTTTTCTAAACAGTATAAAACCTCCTAAAAGTATGAAGGGTGGGGAGGGTGGAGGAAAATACAATAGGGTAAAGTTTAGGGTGATGATGAGATATGTCAAAACTAATTTTCTAATTTTTTCCAAATACAAAATGGTGTATTTCTAATTAGGAAAAATGTTTTTAAAGTTTTTACATATAAATTAAAGCAGGCCTAAGGGGTCGTAACTAAGTCTGTGGATTTAAACTACCATGGTAGTTAAAATAAGGAAACTGAAAGAATCTGCCAGCAAAACCTGTAAGGCATTTAGAGCACTACTTCCTCAGTATCTACACATAATATCTACACGTAACACCAAAGCACTATAAATGTCTGCAGTAACCAACAGCATAACCATGCTTCTATTACCTTCTGACATTGATATTTGAGTTCTCTATTTGCTTAAATGACTAAAAAGGCTGGGCTGGAGCCAGAAAGAGCTGGGTTCAGAGCCGAGTGTGTGACTTAACTGGTAGTCCTCATGACACCCCAACTAGGGAGGTGGGCAGTGCACCCAGCTTGCCTAGCTCTGGGTGAACATTCGGACAGCTGCCCTGGGATACTGTCAGGATTAAACGTGACTGTGGGCCAAGGGAGAGGGACCTGGCAAAGGACACCATCACTCAGGTTTCCCTCCAATTAAACACATGGGGTCAGCAGCAAATTTTCACTTACAACAGTGTTACTTCTATCAGGTGAATGGGTCAGATCTACCTTTAGAGTAATAACTAGTAAAGAAACACTCAACCCCACTGAAAGTCTGCATCGAGACCACTTACTTGCGATCTGGTAAATATCTGGCTCCTCTCTTGCCAGCTTCTCCCTGGCAACATCAGCTATTGGTCCAAAGATGGTTACGGGCCTCAGGAATCCAGCTGAAAAGATTCAGATGAAAAAAACAGTTTATGCTTTTTCTGTCTTAGGCAAACCGACATTAAAAGATATTAGGCTGGTCAGCAGGAAACAGACTACCTTCTCGAAGAACCACCCTCTCATACGCCGGGAACTTGGTCTGGACTGGTTGGGCTGAGAGGTCTTCTCGGCTCTTGCGCAGGTTTCTCTTGGAGCTGCGCAGGCCGCGGAACCTCCAGAAGTCAGCGCGGTCTCCCCCTGCTGTCTTGGGAAGTGTGTACTGCACACTGGCTAACTGCTCAGCTCTACACAAGAGAACACAGAACAAAATGCACAGACTTGTGGTGGAACACAATGTCAAAACCCTGGACAGAACTTCACATGGAATGTAAACCTTAATGCTTAAATTAAAATAAAGGAGTTTATAAAACTAGGTGAGTCTTAGACATGGTGAGTACAGTGAAGACTCCCCGTGGGGCTGAAACCTTTTCCTCATTCCTTAACATGCTCTGCGAGACACAGCGGAGCGCTCATACCTGTTCTTGTTGGGAATGATGCCACGTTCCACCTCCTTATGGTTTTTGCCAATCCGAATGGCGAGCCAGGAGCCCAGCTTCCCATTGTACAAAGTGTCCACAACACGGAACACCTCTCCTTTGTTAAAACTGAGTCCATAGGGAGATTCCTTCTCATATTCAAAGTGGGTTCTAATATAGAAAGAATCACCCACATCGGATTCTACGATGCGACGATAAACTAAATAGAAACAAAATGTAATCAATAATGAGTGGAGAAAGAAATCAATATGAATAGAATACATTAGGTGAAGATTCTATTGATAACGTTAGCAACGACAAAAACAACCATATCCAACTAACAGTAGCTCCTTCCTAAATATTGTCTCGTGGGCATTACCATGAGCTCATGACATGGTGACTCTTGGGACTCCCCCTCCTGGATGAGGAAACTGCTGCAGACACCCATCAGGCAACTAGTCCAGAGCCACATGTGCTTCCTGCTTCAGTCACCTAACAGGCCCACCTCAGCCCTGCACAGACACTCCTGCTCTCTAAACTGTGGCTCTCAAATGACGGCAAGCCCGTACCCGTCGGGTGAGAGGGCTAGCATGCATGGAGACGTTTCTGATAGCAGCAACCATGTGCTGAAAGAAGGTGTGGGCACTACAGACACCTAGTGAGCAGAGGGAGGACATCTCAAACAGCTTGAAGTGTTAATACATGGGACGGCCTTCACAACATTACTTAGTCCAAAACATCAACAGCACCAAGCTTGAGACATTGTCTGTTCTAAATGAAAAGTGCATCTTCTTAATCACAGAAAATTAGTCATTCTCTTGAAATTAATGCCAAAAAACATCAGAGCATACTGCTTAAGAAACATCAATACAAAATTCAGAAGCTGCCCAAGTACAGTTCTGTGTGGAAGAGTATACAGTTTTCCCATGGATGGCACCTTACTTAAATAGAAGACCAGAGACTATTTTGGTCCCATTACTGTGCTGTGCTAACAAGGATAGTGTAAGACTGTTGATGTTGTTTAGTCACTAAATCGTGTCTGACTCTGTGATCGCATGGACTGTAGACCACCAGGCTCCTCCGTCCATGGGATTCTCCAGGCAAGAATACTGGAGGGGGATGCCATTTCCTCCTCCAGGTGATCTTCCTGACCCAGTGATCGAACCCAGATCTCTCGAATTGGCAGAATTCTTTACTACTAACCCACCAAAGAAGCGCCACAGTGTAAAGGCTGTGTGCCCCTAAATGACAAAATCCGTGGAGTTAAAAAAGTCATTTATCACTTGGCTTTGAGTGATTTATTAAAAACATTAACATTAAAATTCCTTTTTAAGTAGTCCAGCATATCTCCAGGTTTATTTTCTCCATTTCCTGAAAGTAACTCACCGTCTTTCTTCTTCTGAGCCAATATGGTCACTTCTTCTCCTTTTGGGAGGTCAAGCAGGAAGAGGACAGCTTCTTCTCTTATGATATTTGTGAAGTCTACATTGTTTACCTGTTAAAATAACATTTCACAAATTACTACCGGCCATATTTTAAGACGATAAAAAACATTTAACTACACAGGAAACAAGTATTTCTAGAGTTTATCTACTCCAGAAATATCACATCTCCACAAGTGAAAATATTTATTTTTGGAGAAGAGACCCTAGTTTCTAACAAGCAGAAACCAAGTGTATAAAGTGAGTTAAAGTATAAATTCATTTAAACAGTGACAGTGCCATGCAATATTAGAGATCATACACTGCAAATTCCAATCAGTTCAGACCAAGAAAGCCAACATCTAATTCCAATGACTTATTATTGTAAAATCTCTTGATTTAAACTTTGAAATTAAAGTCCTGACTGTACAACAGAGCCCTACTTCTTAGGACTCTCTAAGAAGCAATCAGAAGGAAACAGCGTGTGCGCTGGACCACCTCAGTAAGAGCATGTGTACAACACAGGCTCAGAGTCTGCCAGGTCAGTGCTTGCTCGTATCAGATACCCCTGAGGACCTGATGTAAATGTCATCAGTGACTGTATGCAGGGAAACAGGGAGATTTCCTTCTACTTATCTTCTGGAAATTTTCCACATTAAGAGAAAATGTTTTCAATAGGTACTACCTTAATGATACAAAACAAAAATAAATTATGAGAAATATTTTTAAATGACATACGATTACTTCAAACAGCATATGGAGTGGGTAAGAGAATAGGTCTACTTAATTATCAATGTTGTATCTGAGAAAACACAAACATTGTAAATACAACGTCAAGTGGAAATCAGCCAGGCAGAGCCAGTGAATGCCCTGACCTTCTTCCATGCAAGTGTGAAGGGGAAGGTGGACAGAGCAGCCACAGGCGGCCACCACGCCCAGAGGGTGGTTTCTGACTGCGAGCTGCTGCCTCAAGTGACCAAACCCAACATGAAGACAGGGAAGCAAGAGGAAACGGGGGGTTGCTGAACATGTGCCAGGTTTTAGGAAGAATGATTAAAGAAGGTAGTGGGCAAAGAACTGAAACACTGATCAAGTAGGAGGGCCAGAATGACAGTGTTATAGAATCCAAAGAAGAAAGTAATTACTTAAGGTTAAAACACGAGTAAGAAATACAGAAAAACGAGGGCTGGAGATGCCATCAGGTTGGTGGTACCTCATGGAAATCCACCCTGAGCCGTGGTGAAGGTGGAAGGCAGGCCACATGGCCTCAAGACACAAGCTGGCAGGGAAGGGCGCCACCTTACCTGCAAGTTCAACAGCCAGAGGAGAAAGACAGACAACACAAGGCAGATGAGGAACCAAGGGGCAAGGAAAGGACTCAGAACAAAGCAGTCAGACTCTGGGGCAGGGGAAGGAAGAAGAGAGCAGAGCAGAGGTGAAGCGGGAACTCCCACTTGAGAGCTGGTCCATATCCAGCAGGAGGTTTGGATATTTTAAAAAGAGAGGAGATGAATAAAGATGGTACTATGTTACTAGGTAACACTGTTTATGGAAAAGAAACAAAAACACAAAGAGCCCACTGGCACACTGCATCTAAGCTGGGCCTTCCTGGACTCTCATCCTTGTGGATGTGAAGCTTCAGAGTGAGAGCAGCTTACACGTGGACCCGATAGACACCCGTCTTGGCACACCTGAGCCATCACTGGGTAAGGGGGCCCCACAGGCTGCATACCTGATGCTGCCCTGCTGGCAGGCTGAAGCCCACAGCAGAGTCCAGCCAGCAGGAATGCTCAGCTGAACTGGAGATAACTGGGAGACCTTGTGGGCTCTAACACTTGGTTTTTCCACATTCTACAAATATGAGTGATTAAAATGAAACTAAAGCCGCATACTGTGCAGTCACACCTAACATAGACGCGAGCACAGCAGAGGCAGGAACGTGATGGAGTCCCACGTTCTTTAACACAGATTACAAGCTCATCATAACAGATCTGCTATGTCTGATGCCTTGCTCTAGAGACCTAAGTATCTGAAACCATGTGAGCTGATCACAGACATACCCTGAGGATCTGGTCGCCCTCCTCCAAGCCTTCTTTGGCAGCAGGGCTGTCTTCGAGAACACCAGCTACAAATATGCCAACATCGTTTCCACCAGCTAGCCGCAGACCCACACTATCTCCTTTCCTGAATTTTACTAACTTCATGCTGGGCCTGTTAAAACAAATACTTCATTTGAACCAGTTAAGAGAAGCTTAAACAGTTACAGCAAACTGCTATAATGAAAACCATATTAGAATAAAACAAAGGACCATCACGTCTGTAATTTCCCCCACACCACTGATTTACTTAATAAAATTTAGCATTAGAACTCCAAATCAAATTTAATAGCACTTTCTTTTAATTTCTAGTTAACAAAAATAAGTTCTGAAATATCCAAATGTAATATGTTAGTACTGTTTTACATAATAACTGTAAAATTACTTCATGAAAACATGTTTTCCCAACTCTGACTCTTGGATATATGTATTAACAATGGCTAATAACTGAAAAGTCCTATTGTACAAAGGTAGAAACTGAAGTGTAAACTGACAAATTTCCCTAATACCAGGAGTCAAAATCCAGCTCTAAGCACTGTGCCCGGCAGACAGTGCTTTTCAAACTCTGCAGCCAGGGGCTCTTGCAGTAGCTCACACAGCTTACTTGCCCTGAAGCCCCTTTGAACTTTAAACCAAAAAGCCCACCATCCAGCCTTTCTGGATGAGCCCATGTTAATTTCTTCATGCTGGAAAGAATGGAGAAGAACTAATGAAGACACATTAATTCCTCTACTATCAGCACAGGGTCAAAACTTTTGACACTCCTGAAACAAATACTAAGAATGCCACAGAAGAATGGCTACTAGTAACTACAGATTACCCTTTAGGGTAATTAATAACAAATTACATACATAATTACAAATTACCCTTCTAGGTTTCCATAGCTATCCCACATTCAGAGACAAGAAGACACAAGTCTTTTACACCCATCTGGACATGAAATGTAGAAAAGTTCTTTTAAAGTAACAGTGAGCAAATAAGTAGAAGTTAGTAGTAACTAAAAAACACAAATCAATCAAATGAATGAATGAGCTGAGGGGACAGAGACAGATGCCTACTTCTTTAAACCAACTAAAGACCACCTTGGCTTTTAGGATTTACAAGGTAGCCCCACTAGATCTGGTTTCTTCACATGAGCTAACGATGAACTGGGCAGAAACCTCAGAGCATGTAGATCAGACAAGGTCACTTACTGCCAGGGCTGGTGGCACTGGAGGTCCCTCGAATCTATGGATCATGGATGGTGAGCCCCTTGCTCGTGGTGGAATCTACTTTTCCACCTGCATCAAGAGCCTCCTCTCCCAAAGTCAACCATCCAGAGAGCTCTTTTAAGCACCCCCTTAAAGCCCTTAAGATTCCAGGGCCCTAAGTCCTCTCCTAACACTGACCAACCTAGAGCACGTCAAAAGGTACAACAGTGGACTGCAGTCTGTGTCCTTCAGGAAGACCTGGCTTTTAAAAACCACCATTCGAGAACAGCTCCAGGCGCCATCTCAGGGTCACATGACCGAGATGGGGTACTTTACTCTTGGCCCTCTGTTGTATCCACCGCACACAGCAGCAGAAGCCTCTCCTTCAAACACATCCAGAGTGTGAGTGAGCACACCCAAATACAAACCCTGCCTACTCCTCAGTTCTCTCTATGTCTGTCCTTTAGGGCTCCTTCTGACAAACAAGGCTCTGGAATCTAACAAAGTTTTGGTAAACCTTAAAGAGTCAGGAAAGTGCTCGGGCAAGTCTTAATAAAGGAAAAACAAGAAGATAATTCCTTTCATTTATAAAATTTTGAATTATCAGTTACCTAATATTAAAATGTGTAATTTTAAACTTGTGACACTCCCACCTATTTCAGGAGCTATTTCTCCCATGCTGGGTCTTAGAGTAACAACCCGATTTCCTTCAGTACAGAGAACAGATGAGAGCAGGGGTCTAAATCTAATCTACTTTAGGAGATTCGGTAATTTTCTATTATTTACATCCTGTCACCTCTCTTTTACCACAGAGGCATCAAAAAACTAGATGATCATGACTGTTTGAAATCTGGATATAAAAAAAAATCTACATCTCAGTCTCAGTATATAAGATACAAAGTAATGAAATGTTTGGAAATCAAACACTGACTTCTGAGGTGCTGACTGATCTAGAGCAGGTTCTCAGTCAGGGTGATCCTGCCTCCAGGAACATCTGGCAGCATCTGCAGGTGTTTTTAGTTGTCACAGCCAGGGTGTGTGTGTGTTCACATGAACACTACTGACCACCGCTGGCTAGGGATGCTGCTCAGCACCCACAATGTATAGGACACTCACACGATAAACAGTTATCTGGCCTGTCAGGGTGCTGAGATGGAGAAATTTTTTTTGTTTAAAGCTAGGGATTGAGAATGCCTGTGAAAATTCTCATGTTTAACTAGAAAGTTTTTCTTCTTTTTGGTCACACTATATAGCATGTGTGATCTTCGCTGACCAGGGATTAAACTCATGCTCCCTGAATTGGGAGTGTAGACTCTTAACCACTGGACCACTACAGAATCCAGAAAACAATTTTCTAATTTCTGATCCAAAACCTAGGTTATAAAATAGTGGTGAGAAAGAAGTAAACATCCAAAGAAGTATGTTTTCCTCTAATCTCTGATTCTATCATATAAACAATTTAAAAACTAAACAAATGAAAGTCTCATCAGAGCATTATGCAGCACACACTATGTATAAAAGCATTTGTAATACAGGTCACAATTGAACACTCACTCTAAACCATGATCAGTAACAGGCAGAGAAAACAACCCAAGTTTAAAGCCACATTACCGAAGAATGCCATCTTCATGAGTTGAATTCGGCAGAACGCCATCAGATGGACTGACGGGTAAATCCACGTCTGGCTGTCCTACCTGGGCATACACAGGCTTTGGTTCTGAAAGAAGAGAAAATCTAAGTTGTGCAGCAAACACTGTACAAAATGGAATAACAGTGCAAGCAACCACTGCATAACCAAACAATAAAAAGTCTGCAAAATACAGTGAAAATGGAAGTTCAGAGAACCTGATCAGGGACATATATATTACATATGTGTCTCTCAGGGTACATTTTACAGTCATATATTCTGATATCTTTATAACATGTATGCACATCACATGGTCACCTGTGCTTTCCACAGCTCCACCTGTTAAAGTCTGAAATAATCTACTTTTTAGGGAAGAACAACAGAGGAATGTATGAAGAGAGAATCCCTACATTTCTCTGCTGGGACTGTCACTTTCTTAATTACTGTTAAAATTTATTTTTAAATATCCACATTCCTGCGACTAAGCAAGCAGAGCAGAAAGAGGTTTTGGGAGAAGGACCTGAGGGACAATAGAATTGGAACCTCTAGGACTTTTAAACAACCCTGCAGGATATCTCAGAACCCTGCAGGTTTTCATGTGTGGTCTCGTATCCAGCTCAGCAAGGTACACTTCATAAAGAGTTTCTGAAAACACTGTCCACTGGCAAGATAACTTCTAATGTTTCCCTTTAATGAGCAGTGTTTGAAAAACAACCTCACTCACTGTGAACAGCTATGAACCATGAATAATTTCTACATAGAAAATTTGAAAAACATTCAATGCCGCCTACTCATCCACAGTGACCTCCTATCCACATAGAAAATGCTGGAAATATAGAAAAATTCCATGGGTAGTTACCTACATAGGTAGTAGGTAACAGCAGTAGTAGCAGTAGTAGTAATTGCATCTTTGCATCTCCTGTAAATATAATTCTGTAAATTGTAAAACAGTTTAGTTTGACTGAATGTTTCCTGAACTTCATATTTCATAAGTGAGGCTTACCTGGAAGATTGGGTGCTTGTTTCTCATTTCGCTCAACTACAACTTCTTCCACTGTTTTAGGTGTGTGATCATCTGCATGCTTTACCGGAGTCGAGACAGCCCCGGGTTTCGAAATTCTCTCTTCCTCTCTGCTCCGGAGACTGTACATCAGTAAAACAGAAAGTTATGAGCACATCGTGAAAATCATTTGTAAAGAGTACAAGAACAGCCAAGACAATGTCAAGAAAGGATGACAAAGGACTTGCTCTTAAAGATATCAAAATACTGTAAAAAACTTAGTAATTAAAACTAGAGTAGCACTGCCACAGATCCATGTAGAAAAACAGAAAATGCAGAGATACTTCTGTAGGACCAAAGTTTATCATGGAAGCAGCAGGCCAAAGCTGCTGGAACAGAATAGTGTGTAATAAGCAGTGTCAGAACTGTTCACTAATCTAGAAAACCTAGCTCACTGCGTATATCAATGACATAAAAGTAAATCAATTTCAGATAAAGTCGTAAACATAAAATACATTTTAAAAAGTATTATCGAAAATACTTTCAAAGTAAGTCCCAATTAACAAAAGCCATGATATATCAAGTAAATACATAAAAAGCTTTAAAAGGTATGAAATAATTGGAGAAAATGTCATATGTAGAACCAAATGAATTTTAGAAGTTCAAACAACCGAATATTAGCAATTTGACCAAACAAAATGTAACAGAAGTTCAATTTAAAACTACACATTGATCCAACAATACATATAATAAGGATTTGATATTTAGAATATATAAGAACTATACATCAGTTTAAAAGGGACAATTCAGGAAAAAAATGACTACTAGGAAGAGGAAATTCACCAATAAAGAGTGAATAAACACAGACAATAAACAAAAAATATTCAACCTCACTAGTAACAAGCAAAATGCAAATACAAAAAACTAGAGCTCTTACTACTCGTGAGAGTTCTCCAATCATATCAAGCTGTAAGAAGGACACAGAGATACAGACATTTGGAAAAGGACAGTAGAAATAAGAGTAAACACAAAAAAGAGTGTACAAGTATTTGAGGGGAAAAGAGGAGTTATTTATCAAAACAACAAAAAAAATGCACATACACAAAAACCTGGAATCCTACTCTTAGATTTACCCTGAAGAAACACACACATACATGTTCAAGACTTTATAAGAATATTTACTCTGACAGCAGTTCGACTAGCAATAAACAAAACTCAGTGCCCATCAACAGTTCCCCCAGAAAAATACAAACTATAAAAAGTGAACTTATCTATCTATCTATCTATATATATAAAGAGGCCAATACATATGCTTCACATAAAAAGATAAGTCAAGATCTACCATTTAACGTATTGGTAGAAGATTTTATAGTGGAGTTCTCCCAACTCTGGAAAACCCAATAGTATTTTTCTTCAATCATCCTAGACCATAGAAAAATATAGAAAGCTTCCTAATTCACTTTTTAAAGACTTTTTATTGTAGAAAATCCCACACATACATAGAGGGAACAGTATCATAAAAATCTCATGTACCTATCTTTAGTATTTTTCAACTTTCCAGGCTCCTCCGTCCAAAGGGTTTTCCAGGCAGGAGTACTGGAGTGGGGTTCCACTGCCTTCTCCAAACCATAGGCTAACAGAAGCTTAACACCCAAATCTTGATAATTAACAGTACCAAATGAGAAGACAAAAATATTTTAAAAAGATAAATGGAGGTGTTCTCTCTAAACATCCCACCCTCGCATTATCAAGGGTGAAACAGATCACCAGCCCAGGCTGGATGCATGAGACAAGTGCTCGGGGCTGGTGCACTGGGAAGACCCAGAGGGATCGGGTGGAGAGGGAGGTGGGAGCGGGGATCGGGATGGGGAATACATGTAAATCCATGGTTGATTCATGTCAGTGTATGGCAAAAACCACTACAATACTGTAAAGTAATTAGCCTCCAACTAATAAAAATAAATGCGGGGGAAAAAGATAAATGGAGGGAAAAAATTCCAAATAAAATACTAAGGGAAAATAACACTGTATTAGAGGATTATTATACTGATACAGTGGTCACAGCAAGGCTGTTTCAAGAGTGCAAGACTAACTCAGCATTAGAAGTCTACCACATAATTCTATCCAAACATTACAGAAAAAGTTAATACTAGCCAAATGAGCATGTGAAAACAATCAACAGCCATTCCTAATAAAAGTCACAAATAAAGCAAAGATCAGGCAACAAAATAATGAAACTATTTTCCGAAACCAAGAGCTATTATCATATTATGTAGTTAAACACTGAATCTATTTGCTCTAAAATCAGTAACGGCACAGTGACACCTACCAACATTACTGTTATTTACCACTATCTGAAGACTCGGATGACAGAATCACGCGATAATGCGCCTGAAATACTGGCAGAAAACTTTAATGAGTATAAAAGAATATTAAAAATTATTTGAATTAAAATAACTTTAATTACATTGGGAATTGAATATCCTCAACAATCAGATGGAAATGAAAGGGTAAAAATATCTCTAAACAATAGCATTAAAAATTATACATCTATACAAACCTAGACTAGGGGAGCTCTCCCTAAAAAGCAAGATAAAAATTCAAAAGCCATGAAAAAACAACACCCCAGAGAAATGAGCAACAGAAATGAACCAGAAATATACTAAAGAAGAAATTCAACATGGATAATATCACAAAAAGATGGTCAGTTCCACTACTAGGCAGGAAATCAACTGATAATAAGAAGTTACACCGTTTTGCACCCACCAGATTGGTACACATGGAATTCTGAGAAAACAAATGAAAGCACTGCCACGTATGTATCACTGAATCACTTTCCTACACACTTGAAACTAATATTGTAAATTAAATATACTTCAATTTTAAGAGCAAGATAAAAATGTAAACACTACTTTTGGAAAGTAATATGGCACTAACCATGAAAAATTTTAAATGCCAACACACACTAAGTATTTTAACAGTTAAAAAAGCCAATATATGAACCCATGGACAAAAATGAAAAAGACCTAGAAAAAGACTTTCCACAATATGGAAAATTTCTGATCAAATGAAAAAAGCTAAAAGGATGCTTACCTTGTGTTATGTGAAATAAGCTAAAAGCTGGGAGTAACGTGCAGAGCCTGATTATTTTAAAATTCTTTGTAAAACACACAGAAACTCTATATATGATGCTAAACGTTGACACAAGTACAGAGAAAAGCTTACTTCAAGTCTGAGATCCAGATGTAGTGGAGTTGGTAGCTGTGGCCTGTGCCACTTGTTCTAATGAACATACAATGCTTTCATAATTGAAGATAAAAAACTAAAATCTTAAACTTACAATGAAACATGTTGTAACCAGAGATATGAAAATAGCCCCAAAACAAAATGTGAAGAACAAATGGCAGAATACATGTGGTGAGACACCACTGAGGTATTAAAGACCACTTTTTCCTACAGCTGCGCATGCATGTGCGTGCACACACACCCGCACACACCCCGTGTGCAGAATTACCAAACAGATGGCAGTGACACCGGTTCACAAAGGGGGAAGCAGATACAACAGCAGCCCAGAGAAACCTTAGATTTATCTTGACTGTTTCAATTTTCAGGTGGCTCAGACAGTAAAGAAATCTGCCTGCAATACAGTAGACATAGGAGACATAGGTTCAATCCCTGGGTGGGAAAGATGCCCTGGAGGAGGGGGCATGGCAGTCTTCTTGCCTGGAAATCCCATGGACAGAGGAGACTGGTAGGCTACAGTCCATAAGGTCACATCTTCAAAAGACTGAAAAGTTTTAAAGTATTTTAAAATAATGATTATTTAAAGATGATATTAAGTCTAACTTTAAAGAATTTGTCCCTTTCGAGGAAAAAAATTTCTTCCTGATGTCCTCCTGAAAGAATAAAAACATATGCTTTTTTTATAAGAAAAGTTTTCAGAGTTCTATTTTTAAGTTAGTTTAACTACTCTGGGGAGGGTGTATTCCAGTTTTAAATAATATATATTTAAAAGAGCTGCATGTAAGTAAAACAGTCTTTTAGTAAAATACACACACACACACACAAAACACACACACACGTATGCCAAGATATTTTCTAGCTCAAACCAGAATGAACTACTTTTAAATCATAAAAGGTTAAACTTTTTAGCCATTGCTTATGTAACAATGGGGTGGGCTTCCTTGCTGGCTCAGATGGTAAAGAATGTGCCCGCAATATGGGAAATCCAGGTTCAGTCCCTCGGTTGGGAAGATCCCATGGAGAAGGGAATGACTATTCACTCCACTGAGCTACTCACTATTCTTGCCTGGAAAACTCTGAACAGAGGAGCCTGGTGGGCTACAGTTCATGGGGTTGCAAAGACTCAGACATGGCTGAGCAACTGACACACGATGTATTAATATCTCACATATAATTAGTCTAAGTATAAATGAATACAATTAAGCTATCTGCAAACTGTTCTAGGCAATTCATAATAAAAAGAGCAATACAAAATAGTAAATTCTTCTTGCATTCTTTGCTCTAAAAATACAAATGTACATATGAACATTTTGAAAAGAATACGATTAAAGAACTACATAATTTTAACAGTTCTACAGAATTCTGTTGCTTTCCAACTGGCTTAAAACTATCTGTTTAATAAAGATCACATTTCTGGACTTTCCTGGCGGTCTCATGGTTAAGAATCTGCCTACCAATGCAGGGTTCGATCCTTGGTCTGGGAAGATTCCATGTGCCACAGGGCAAATATACCCATGTACCACAACTACTGAAGCCTGTCCACAACCACAGAAAACTGCATTAAGAAGCCCATACACCATGTCTAGAGTTGCTCCCATTCTCTATAACCAGACAGAGCTCACACGCAGCAACAGATCTTTTTTTTTTTTTAAGTTTAAAAACAATTTCCAATTCCAATTGATTTTCTTCCTTTCCTGTAACTGAAAAAAAAAAAAACTTCCTGAATCTACAACATGACTAAGTAACACTGATGATAACTAAGAATCAAAGATAATATTTTAATGTGAACATCCTCCCCAATGGTAAAAGGCCTTGTAATAGGGCTCCTGCTCCGTACAGCACACAAAAATCCCACAAGTATTTCATTTTTGGCTAATTTTCATTCTCTTTTGACTACCAC